AAGGTGGGTTCATAGCTCTCCGTTCATCCGTTGCGTTGATCCGTCAAACGGATAGTACGTTTTGTTAAGGTTCATAGCAATCCGTCCACATTGTACATTTGCAAGTATAACCATAACCTAAATTTTATTTTGTACTGTACCCTTCGTGATTTTCAGTATGTGAAAATGGTACGAAAGTAAGAACACATTGCTATCTGATTATTACCGTGAAGAACGAATAGGCGAACGCTGTTAACATACCAAACATAACCTCACTCTTGTTAAAAACGGACCAACGGAAACGTAAATGTTCAACTTCAACAAACTTTTCCGTCGTAAACGGACGACGTACGATTTAAAAATTTGCTGTCTTCTGATTGGCTAACGGACAAACGGAAACGTATGAACGGAGAGCTATGAACTTACCTTAATAGTCAGAGGCTTCTTGGTTGGGTATACCCTTCTTTAACAAAACACTAGACGTCTCCCAACTCTAAGCTTTGCCAGTCTGGTTACGTCCATTTTCTCTCTATGCTGTAGGGTATGTTGTCTTCCGGTGGTACTAAATCTTCCAGAATTTCATCTTTTGTAGGATTTGTAAGCAATGCCATGTTATGATAATTTGTGTATATAACTTTAGGTACTTAATGATTGAAAACTATTATAGTAGTCTTACTGTGAGAATGTCGCCACCTACTTTCCGATTATCTCAATAAGCACTTCCCGTTTGGTGCCCTTCGATTTCTCATATTCCCAAACATTACCAGCCTTGGATATAGAAAGCGACCTGTCAGTGCTCGTGAGAGACACTTTTTTTGATGCTCGACCTTCTTTTTAGTTGCAAAACCTTTTACCGAGATTCTCCTGCTCTCCAGTAAGCTTATGCGGTGCTTTGTGACCGTAGGTCTCAAATTTCGCCAACCCTTTTAATACCTCACCTTTTCCAGAAGCTAACGCTGGTACTGGCACCTGGTCAAGCTTTCGGACTCCTATTGTTCTAACCTGCGTCAAAAGGATTCAAGGATTCATGGCTCAGTGGTTAGAGCATTGGGTTATGAATCCGAAGGTCGGGTGTTCGAACCTGGGTTGAGGTGAATTTTTCATCTGTGGCGGAGATGGAAATTACCTTAGACCAGTTCCGAGCATTCTACCTGCTACTCCGAATTAGGTTTTCCTGCAGTTTTCCTAATTCGTAAGGTAAATACCGGAATAGTATAGACCAACTTAAGACCTTCTGCAGAGGCACCTCTAAATAGCATTATGCGGGTCACTCTGTAATTGGGCGCATGCCTGTTGAGGGCCCAAAACAAGAGAGGAATAATAATAATAACAGATATACCAAATTTGGTTCGAATAGGTTCAGCCGTTTAGCCGAAAATAGAGTCAGTAGATCGAAGAGACCGACATAATCGAAATTTTGTTTGATTCCAGATTCTAAGTACGTCAAACGTCAAAAAAGGGGTACTTTCGACCCCCACGCAATACCTCCCTTAGAACCGTGCGGGTTGAATTCAAAATTATTTACAAAACATAGCGAAAAATATTTTAGTTTAGTACTATTGCGTTTTTCTGCTATTATGTATCTTTTTCTTTCTCTTTTTCCAATCTCTTTGGTTCCTTTTCCTCATTCCTTTACTTGGTTCTCTTTGAATTGATTCTTATTCTTAAAACTTTTCTCAAAGTACTACCTTATACAGTGCTATTTATTAAGAAGTAGACATAGGGATTTAATAATATAATATAAATCTCTTCTTAAGGGCGCCTAATTTTACGCAATCAAAATAATTTCTTAAAACAAATAAAGATCAAATTCTGACTGTCAGAAGGATTTTGTCATTTAAAAGTAGACATAGGGAAAACCAATACACGTAAATCCCTATGTCTACTTCCTAATAAATAGCATGACTGTAATATATTCTAGACTTGGCAAGGTTCCACTAGACTTACATCCGATTCAGGGCCTGTGATTTCTGTTCGGCCTATTCTAACTTCTCTTGAATGTCAGCCATTTCTTTCTTCTTGCAACTTAACCTGATCTTCTTTGTTTTTTAATTCTTCTAATTTTTTATTCATATCTTGTAGTAAAAATGAGTCCTTTTGCATATTCAAATATGTATTGCTTTTCTAAAATATCGCTCGTTTCTTCTGAGAGTTTGACTTAGGTGCTTTAACTGAATTTTCTTCTAACTCTTCTACTCCTTTCTGCCAGATATTGACTTTTTCAGTTTGTTGATCTACCCCCTCCGAAATTTATCGATCGATTTACCCCGGCTCTGTATTGCTCCTTCATTGTATCTCATAACTTGTTGTAGGTCTTGAACTAATCTGCTTCAATTTTCTTCCTCTGTATTCTCCATGACTTTTTAACGGATTTTTGGAAAAAATATGCTATTATATTGGTTATGGCTGGCTGGCTGGCTGTCCGGATGAGATCTCAGCAATTACAATTGCTAGAGACTTTAAATTTTCACTAAAAGCTTTCTGTTATAGTGTAGATGTGCAGGCTCTAGTCTATTTTGAGTTAGATTACTCGTGAGATCGATAATTTTAAAATTTGCTAATATAAAATACTGATCTGCATTACCAAAAATGCGCTTTTATCATGCATTGACTCTTCATTTTGAGTTGTTATTGCTTGGTTTTCCTAGGGGACTGTAGAAAACCTGTGAGGACGAGAGATGAGGGTTGTCACAAAAAATGCTTTTCGTTTATTTCTATTTTTATTGGACGCAACTTTCTTAAAATATGAAAAAGCAACAATGACGACAACCTATTCGTCTTTCCCATCTCATCTGCACTATAAGTAACATTACAATTATTGTGGTTCTAGGGAATAATTTGTTTCTAGTAAATTTTGTGCAAAAATATTCAAATTTATCGACGAATTACGATCCTAACTGAGTTTAATCAGCGAATGGACACGTACATTCAGCCTTTGCTCGAAATCGTAATCCTTGTAACGCTCGACGTCAGCTAGCATCGCCTTTCCTTCTTTCTTTTTCTAAAAATATGAAACTTAGTCAATAATTATTACATCTTAGATGCGTTACCCCCAGCTTCTTCATTAAAATGTGCCCCAGCTCGTACTGCGCGAAGGCCGAGACGTGAGCGTCATCGGCGTTGTGGGGTAGCTCCTTTCGAATTTCCAAACACTGCCGTAGACACTCGATCCCAACCTCGTACTCTTTCAGGATGCAGTGACAGGTGCCTCGAATGAGCAGCGCAAGGCCCAGCATGGGTTCGACGGTGACATTTTCACAATCTGTTGATAGTGAAAGCTAATAAAAGCGTCGAAAGCGGTTATGTACCTGAGATTATTCGGCGAATATTGTCAAAGGTGCAACTGGGCAATGCATTCCACAAGTACAGTATGTCATAGATGAGGAATATCCAAAACGTTCTATCGTTAAGTTTCGTTTTGTCAGCAGTGGGGCACAAGGCGAACCTTTTCGAAAGAAACATCCCTAGCTGGTTGAGTTTTGGAGAGTTTTCGTATACAGTTTTCATTTGACTTAGTGTATTTACATTTTTGATACTATTACACGCACCCGCGCAGATAATAGAAAGGTAAGTGTAAAATTCACGTGACCATCTACTTGCAACTCTCAGTTTTTCAAACGTGAGTTCGGCCGACCGGTAATCGAGCTGTATCAAGTAGCACCAACCAACCTCGTGCAGCGAGAGCATTTTTATCTCCCTTTGGATGGAATTCTCGACTGACGCTTGAAACGCATTTAACGCTTCGGGAATGTTAGACTAAAAAGATATACGCTTGTAGGTATACACAAATCCTTCCACCACAATGTTGTAACAATGGATATCACCCAACACCATGGTGGAAGTACCTCTTACGTTTAGTCTATGGATTCTTCCTAGAAAAAAAAGAAATAGAGCTGAGTCTCTGTATTCCTTTTGCGATTCGTCCAAAAGCTGCATGGCTGCTTCAACCCCGGCTCTCACATTACTACCATCCAACGCGTAAAACGGCCTTACGATGGTATGATACCACAAAAGCGCCAATCTAAAATCGACCGTTTTGATTAAAGGCGATTGTCCATTACAATTTTGCGTACGCACGTCGCTAGTGGCGCGTGCATATCCGAACCTTCCCTCGAGTACATTAAATTACTGATGCCCAAATTGCGATTGCCGCCAAATCCCAAGAAACTGGTCACTCTCAGCAGCGAAGGTGGAAGCAGAGATACTCCCAAGTGAAAAAGTCCGTATCCGAACGATATCGCTCCCATAAGTCGCGTTATCGTTTCCTTGTCAATGTCGCACGGTTTCCTAAAAATTAGTTGCACATCAAACTTACATTTTCCGCGTTGAAGGCTTACTGTTTTTCTGAGGAGAAGAAGTTGAGTGAAGTGAAATACGAAAGGCCGTTGAAGGAGAGTGGTTTGGAAAGGGTGTCGCCGAGACCGACAGTAAATGACTTTTTAAGCGAACCTTTGGCATGGTACCCGTTACTTAAATGAACTTTACTACTAATATCGTAACAATTATTTTTTAAACAATCACTGGAGTTACACCTACTTGAGCTTTTGCTGTTATTGTTAACATTAGTGGCGTAACTAGACAAACTATTATCGGTCGTGTAAGAGCGTGACATTTTTTGTAAAGAAAAAGGACGGGATGGTAAATACCCATTGGACGGTGGTGATTGAGGAGGGGCTCCCTGGTATAGATATTCCCACTGCTTCTCTACATTTTCTACATCTTCCTCTTCATCACGTTCATTTAAGGGGGCTATATTTTGTGTTGCCGCATCTACAAGTCTACGTAAATTTAATGGAGCACAAACAAGCTTTTACCTGGAAGCTCGCCAACGATCTCCTTGTACAAAGATCGAATGGTGTTATACGTATGTTGGTATATCTTCCAAGATTTCCTCAAAATCCAACCCCCCTTAAACATTCCCGACACGTCCTGCTGTAGAAATATCAAAATTGCCATGCATACTTGAGCATCCGCCAGTATGATTTGATGTTCGAGGTATTCGGTATCAGATAACGAGGTTTCGGCCCCAAATACTTTCGATTTCATCACCTTCATCCAGCCATTATCCGAGTAACACCGACGTTCAGTTTCTTTTAACGCACTTAAAGCCGTCGTCAATTTGTCATCTTCCAGTGTCGTAATCGCATCCTGAGGGTTGCGAAACATACAATTAAATTGCTTCAAGTAATGCGTACTTACCATAAAAATTGCGAACGAGTAACCAGCGTAAAGGTGAATGGAATCGGGGTATTCTTTAAATAAAGCTTCCGCATCGCTTGCCTTGTTGTTTATTAGCAGTTGTATACCTTCCCTTGCCAGTTTCCACTTAGGTATGTCGTTTGGCGAGCGATTGAAAGTTGCCATTATGTTTGGAGCGTCATTTTTTTAAATGCTAGACGTTGCTTGCTTGCTACTTACGTTGAATTTTAGTGCTATTTTGAAAACCCTGTCAAATGTCAACCATCTTGGAACTGTTCATTCATGGCTTGCCTTTATTGATTTTCCTCTCCCACCCTCTACATGAAAACGTTTTCTCTCGACTCCTTAAATTTTCATTCCGTTTCTATTGTTAATATAGGTGCCTATATGAAAGCATTACTTAGGTCGTTGTAAGGGTTGATTTATATGCGAAAAATATGGTAACTTATTACTGCCCTTAATTTGCGCGATCAACAGGTAGGTATTGGCGTATTGCGCACACCTACATTAACCATCAGTCAATGATAAAAATGTTTCGAGAAGGATGCTCGTACTCAACCACTGTAGGGGATATCTTATGGTACATAAAACCGTTAGGCTTGGATTTTAGGTAATAGTCCCTAGCTATTGACAAATGGTAGATAACATTTGGAATGCATGCGAAAAAATGCATTCAATGCAAAAATTAAATGCCCTCAAGTTCACTAGTTTTTAAAAGAATTATTTTATGCATGCGGGGATTGTTGATGTCTTGAAAAAGAAAAATCAGATACAACTGAATACTGAACGATCCTCGAGATCTTCACAGGAGCCTTAAGTTGCAACCCCCACTAAAAAGATTAGCAAATCTATTAATACTGTTATTTTGTACTTATTTGTACCGCGGATACCAAATTTTGTACCACTACATTTTAATCGTTAGGACCAAATCTACATTGGGGTTGCAATTTAATGCCACAACCCCAAGTATTCACATCCTTAAAAATTTTTGTGCCAGAATTTTGTACTCATTTTGTACTAATTTGCATCGTAAATAAGAAATTTTGTACCACTACCTTTTAACAACTAGGACTAAATCTACATTGAGGTTGCAACTTAATGCTACGCCCTCAAGTATACAGATTCTTAAAATGTTGTGTGCCATAATTTTGTACTCATTTTGTACTAATTTGTACAGTAACAAAGAAATTAGCTTTTAACCGTTACTATCAAATTAATTTTGGAGGTGCAACTTAACGGTACAACCCCGAATGTACAAATTCATACAAATTTCCATGCCATAGTTTTGTACTCATTTTGTACTAATTTGTGCCGAAAGCAACTAGTTTTGTACCACAACTTTACCGTTTTATAAAACGGCGAAATTTACAATGTGGCTACGACATATATATGTTGTGGTTGCAACAGACAGACAAATAGACAGACAGACAGACAGGCAAACAGTTAATTACGTAGATAATGCGTAACACACGTTTTCCAATGGACTATAAAGATGATGTATCTAATATAGGTATTTAGCTATTTACGAGGGTATTTATTTTCAGTGTAAATTGGTATAAAACTTTTGTTATACAGACTCAATTGTTACTTTGCATCTTCAGTACCTATGTACCTACTCTCGATTTTCTCATTTGGTATTTGTAGCGTTTAACGAAGTTGAGGTAACGTTTATGTCCTCGATTTTCCGTCGCCTGTCTGTCTGTCTATCTGTCTGTCTGTTCCATTGAAATCTCGGCCCCTGGTCCAGATAGAGACTTTGGGTGTTCGTTTATTGATAGCTGCTAATATATGGTCTACATTTGCCCGTTACTCATCACGAGTGGGTTTTGAAACATTTTTATTTATTTATCTTTGAATTTTAAATAGGTATTGATCATAATACGTTATTTAATTTGTGTGTAGGTACACATTTGAAATTGGAACTGCGAGAAGTGTAATCGGAATCGTGAGCAACAAAATAAGGTACGATGGTATTTTTTACTACCTATTTTAACATTTGGGCTCAGTTGGTCATTGCGTCATAACTTCGGAAGTTAAATTCTGGTTTAAAGAAATGTATTGGTTAATGTCCAGTGTTTAATAAATCGGTAAAACACTCGTGTGAAATAAGCAGTCAAAATATAGCAGCCAAAATGCCGAAAACGAACGAACGACCAGTGGCTCGTTTACCATAAAAAACAAATTTGCGAATGTACTCTCGCATAGCAGCCATTTTCCAGCAGCTAAACTAACATTCATCTTAGATCCCTCTCTATTCGAAAGGAACAACATAAAACAATAAAAAATTGCTGCCACCTTTTGCAAAAGAATTTCACATTTGAATTTAGCCTTAGTATCTTCAAAAAATTAGCATTCACTTACTGAGCCACCTCATAGGGTGAAATCTGCCCCCAAAGTGTAAAAAAATACATATACAACCCTTAGAAAAAAGGTTTTACTTTTATTGGGCTATTCGCATTGACTGATGATTGAATATTAATTAATATCAGCGTGACTTGATAAGACACGGATGGTTAACTTACCCTATAAGCCGTTTGACAGCTTTATTGGGGTAAATTATTGCCTATGTGAATATGGACAAAAAAACACATATTCTACCAAGACGGAACAAAGACTCTATTGAAGAAATGGTCACATTTTCGAAAAAAATTAATACGTATTACATGCCTGCTTTTAATTTTCATTTTACACTTTCCTGGTGGTGATGAAAAGGAAAACGAAAGTGAAAATCCCGAGGTAGATAATTCAGTTCGAAGAAGAAGCATGTGACATGATGGAAGTAGAAAACTGGCGGGGGTTGGCAGAGGTACAAAGTGGGAAATATAAATCGTATTTAACACAAAATTCGGAATGGTTAAGAAAGGACTTGAGCCAGTTAAAACCTGTGTTACCAATTGGGTTGTTAAAAAACGGCAACAAGGATTCACTTCCTCCCCTAAATGTGAACGGCGAAAGAGTAATACTGCACTTCTTCAGATTACCTGTTCAGCGTATTGCGACAGCGACCTATATAAAAGCTATGTGGATACCACTGAAGCATTTTTGATCGGCAAACTGGCTAGGGAAATCATCAAGCACGGAAGCACTTCAAAAAAGAGTCGAGCAGGAAAGTTATAGTTTGTACAAACCAATTTATTTCGATGAGACCTTTCGTTGGAATACAATGAAGGGTAGAACGTGGTGTTTACCCCCCCCCCCCACACACACATTTTCAAAAGTTTTACTTGGCACCACTAATGGAATGCGTATGAAAAATCTTACACCAATTGGTTGCCCTATGTAACAGTGATGCACATTTCACTTTCAAAAACAGCATCTCAGGAAATAATTCATTGGGAGCCCTCCCTTTAAGACACTAAAATTTAATGGCCGTCGTAGTTTAAAGTAAGTAGTTCAAAACGGCAGAAGTGGGCCCGGACGGACGGACGGACAAAACGCAAACAATTGCACATTTTTTTTAATTCTTAAAAAAGTCGCTAAAACATATCCGCAACGTTCTACGTGCTGAGATCCCAACCCCCAACACGGACGGATTCAGAGTTATAATACTACTACGAGTACCTAAGAAAAATTGAAAAAAGGGACAAAATAATGTACGTCAAAATAATTTCCTTATAACGATACATTATATTAGTGCATAATCATGGAACAAAATTGTGACCCCAATATAGATTAGATACTAGTGGATGGAACTCAGTGGTACAAATTTAATGCAAAATGAGTACAAAATCAAGGGACAAGAATTTTATGAATGTAGGTACATATACGAGATAGTAACGTTAACATATATTTGATCCTAGCTGTCAAAAAGTACTGGTAGAAAATTAGTTACTTACAGTACAAATTAGTACAAAATGAGTACAAAATTATGGCGCGAAAATTTGCATGAGATTGTATACTCGGGGTTGTACCGTTAAGTTACACCTCCAAAATTAATTTGATAGTGGCGGTTAAAAGGTAATGGTACAAAATTTTTTGCTTACGGTACAAATGAGTACAAAATGAGTATTTTTATTCGAAGTGTCTACTATTTCATATAAATATCTTAACAAATAAAAAAATTGGGATTGCGCAAATACAAAAGTAAGAATGCGCATGCGCAATATTTTTTTTTGAATCTGCTTAGTCTTCTGAGGTTTAAGGAATATTTACTAACACATAAAACCGGACATTCATATGTTCTTTGTAACATGAGTTATAAAAGAAGTCCTTTTTGGGACGTTTGGGCAGCTTTGGGCTGTAACCTTTTGGTCCGTTAGTCTACGTAGCCGAAAAACAATAGAGACCTTTCTTATATCCTGAAGAACATGTGTATCAAATTTCAAAGCGCGATCGGACGTTTATACACAAAGTTATCGTGCACACGGACAGACAGACAGCAATACGAAATTATAAACGATCTCGAGGATCGTTAATAATTTATTTAAGGCCGAGATTCGCTAAAGCCCTATATAGATAGATATTTTATTTACGCCATTTGGCAAATCATACTTTCTGCATTTCTTCCCTTTTTCCTATTATCTCCTTCATCCATTTTTCTCTTCTTTCCCCCTCGTCAAGTATTTCTCTCCTGCTTTGCCTTGTTCTTTCTACTTGTTTACATTCCCATACTAAATGATGAATATCTTTCTCTCCACATAATTTGCATTTCCTTTCTTCTCTCTTCTATACTCGTTACACGCGTTTCATTATAGTATTCATATTGAACTAGTATCATTAATAACTATAAAGGCATTTGATTCGATACCTGATTTTTGTTTGATTTGTGTAATTTTTTTGCAGTTTGTTGTCGTAGTTGATTTGTCATTCCTTATATTTGTGCTATTCCAGGTTCTTTTTGTCCAATGAAGGTTTTTTCTTGGAGTTATTTTATGTGGACGTAATATTTTATTTGTTTTTGTCGTTCGACATGAAAGTTAGATGGCTCTGCTTGTAATTTTTCCCTACAGCGACTTTATACGAGACAATTGCGACTCAAAGCTCCACCCAGCCGCCATGTTGCATCGAACATTCAAATTAAAAATCATCGGGTATCAATCCAATTGTACTGTAGGCAACAGGCAATACACAAAAACAATTACATGTAGCAGAAACTCGATGCAACATGACCGCTGATCAAAAATTACTGCCCTTTCACAATCATGTTAATGTTAATGGTAATGTTAAGAGGTAATGGTAATGGTAATGGTAACGCTGTTCACAATACTGTTAATGTTGATGGTAGAGGAAGTTCCCCCACTCAAAAGTGACAGTGTTTTATGGTGGCGCTGGAGGGCGCAACGAAAAATAAATTGTCTGTTTAAATTCTTTGATTTGATCTGTGGTTGTTTGACGGGCCGTAAAAATATAACCTTTAATTCAAGTTTAGCATTACAGTTAAGGGTTTCAGCAATTTCAATCCAGGCGTTGTTCTTTTTCTTTATGTCTTTAAAATCGCTGCGTTGTTTATCGTAG